GCGGTTAAAGTGTCGGCCTGCGGTCCAGAGAGACCCGGGTTCGGTTCCTGCTAAGGGCACGTTACTTCGGTTGCAGTTTGTCCCCGGCCCTGGTTGGTCGTGCGGGTGGCAGCCACTCGATGTGTCCCTTCACATCGATGTTTCTCTCTCTCTCTCCCTTCCTCTCTCTCCCTCCCACTCTATCTGTACAAAAAATGGAAAAATATCCTCGGGTGAGGATAAAAAAAATAATAATAATAAATAAATAAATAAATAAACAGCCCTGGCCCGTTTGGCTCAGCGGTTAGAGCATCCGCCTGCGGTCCGGAGAGACCCGGGTTCGGTTCCCGCTAAGGGCATGAACCTCAGTTGCAGTTTGTCCCCGGCCCTGGTTGGTTGTGCGGGTGGCAGCCACTCGATGTGTCCCTTTCACATCGATGTTTCCCTCTCTCTCTCTTCCTTTCTCTCCCTCCCACACTGTCTGTACAAAAAATGGAAAAATGTCCTCGGATGAGGATTAAAAAAAATAAAATAAAAAAAAAATACAAAAACAAAACAAAAAAAACATCCATTAAAGCCCTGGCCAGTTTACTCAGTGGTTAGAGCGTCGACCCGCGGACCAATGAGTCGCAGGTTCAATTGTGGTCAAGGGCACGTACCTCAGTTGTGGTTCATCCCCAGCCCTGGTCGGGTCAGTCGTGCAGGAGGCAACCAGTTGATATGGCTCTATCACATCGATGTTTCTCTCTGTCTCTCTCTCTCTCTGTCTCTCTCTCCCCCTCCCTCTTACTCTGATGATAAATGGAAAAATATCCTCAGGTGAGGAATAAAATAATAAAATAAAATAAAATAAAAGATTCATTCAAAATATATTTAAAAGGATTAAATTTAAAATGTAGAGACTTCCGGTCAAGATGGCGGCGTAGGTAAACGCGGTATCGCGTCCTCCCACAACCACATCAAAGTTACAACTAAACTACAGAACAACCATCATTTAAAACCACCTGAAATCAAGCTGAATGGAAGTCCTACAACTACGGAATTAGAGCAGCAGCCACATCCAGACTGGTAGGAGGGGTGGAGGCAGACGGGCTGGTCCCACACCCACCTGTGGCGGATAAAAATCAGGAGGACACCTCGGCTGGGAAGGTCCTTCCTGAGGACTGAGGGGTCCCCGTCCCACACCAGGCGCCCCGCTCAGGGTTCCAGTGCCAGAAAGAGAATCCCCATAACTTCTGGCTGGAAAAACCAGCAGGAACTGAGGCTCAGGGAAGCTGACACCCTTCCCAGGCAGCTCCTCTTAAAGGGCCCGCGCACAGATTTATCGAACTCACTCCCTCTAAGCTCGGAGGGGAGGCAGCTCGAGGGGCGCCAGAGACATACAGGGAAGAACTGAGCTGTTTGGCACTGGAGCGAGGGCTGGAGAGGAGGTTTTCTCCCGACAAATGTGCTGTCCGAGGCCTTTGTTCCTTTGGTGAGCCCTTCCCGGGGGCAGCAGACAGCCGCCATATCTGGGACGCCAGCAACCTGGCTCACACTGGTAGCCCCGCCCTGCTGACTCCCTGAGGCCCCGCCCCACCCCACCCAACTTTCAGGCCCACCCAAGCTGTTGCCACTTGCTTAACCATAGGATTGGCCTGTCTTGGATCCTGCTTCAGGTTTTTCCTAAATTCTTTCAAACAAGCAGCATCTGGTCTCAGCTATCCCCATACTGCTTGTTAAGTAATACACTGAAACAAACACAGGGAGGCAGCCAAAATGAGGAGACAAAGAAACAGGTCCCAAATGAAAGAACAGAACAAAACCCCAAGAAAAGAACTAAGCGAAATGGAGATAAGCAACCTAACAGATGCTGAGTTCAAAATTCTGCTTATAAGGATGCTCAATGAACTTAGTGAGAACCTCAGCAAACTTAGTGAGGGCCTCAAGAGCATAAAAAAGGACCAGTCAGAAATGATGGATGCACAGTCAGAAATGAAGGAGGCGTTAATTGAAATAAAGAATAATTTACACAGATTCAGCCCTGGCCGGTTTGGCTCAGTGGTTAGAGCGTCGGCCTGCGGTCCTGAGAGACCCGGGTTCGGTTCCTGCTAAGGGCACGTACCTCGGTTGCAGTTTGTCCCCGGCCCTGGTCAGTCGTGCGGGTGGCAGCCACTCGATGTGTTCCTTTCACATCGATGTTTCTCTCTCTCTCTCTGTTCCTCTCTCTCCCTCCCACTCTACCTGAACAAAAAAATGGGAAAATGTCCTCGGGTGAGGATAAAAAAATAATAATAATAATTTACACAGATTCAATAGTAGAGTACGTAAATCCAAGAAGCAAACCACTGATTTGGAATATAAGGAAGCAAAAAACGCCCAATCAGAACAGCAAAAAGAAAAAAGAATCCCAAAAAAATGAGGATAGCATAAGGAGCCTCTGGGACAACTTCAAGCGTGCTAACATTCACATCTTGGGGGTGCCAGAAGGAGAAGAGCGAGAACAAGAAATTGAAAACCTGTTTGAAACAATAATGGCAGAAAACTTTCCTAACGTGGTGAAGGAAACAGACATACAAGTCCAAGAAGCACATAGAGTCCCAAACAAGATGAACTCCAAAGGCCCACACCAAGACACATCATCATCAAAATGCATAAGGTTCAAGACAAAGAGAGAATCTTAAAAGCAGCAAGAGAAAAGCAGTTAGTTACCAACAAGGGTGTTCCCATAAGGCTGTCAGCTGATTTCTCAAAAGAAACTTTGCAGGCCAGAAGGGAGTGGCAAGAAATATTCACAGTGATGAAAAGCAAGAATCTACAACCAAGATTACTGTATCCTGCAAAGCTATCATTTAGAATCAACGGCAATATAAAGAGTTTCCCAGACAAGAAAAAGTTAAAGGAGTTCATCATCACCAAACCGTTATTATATGAAATGTTGAAGGGTCTTTTTGAAGAAAAAGATAAAATATATGAACAAATAAAATGGCAATGAATACATATCTATCGACAATGGAATCTACAAACAAAATGAACAGCAGAACAGAAACATTCTCATAGATACAGAGAACATTTGGTTGGTTGCCAGATGGGAGGGGGGTTGGGGGAATAGATAAAAAAGGTGAAGAGATTAAGAAGTACAAATTCATTGCTAGACTGACAAACCTCAAAGGGAAAGGGGTTGGGGGTGGTGGGAAGAAGTAAACCAAAGAACTTATATGCATAACCAATGGACACAGACAATAGTGTGGGAAAAGGAGGGAGGGGGGCAGGAGTGGGGAGGAGGGAGTCAGTGTGGGAAAAATGAGGAACATCTGTAATACATTCAACAATAAAGATTTTTAAAAAAATAAAATAAAATAAAATGTAGAGAGTCTCATTTTTCATCCCCATACCCGAACCGATACTGCATAGTCCACTTTGAGACCATAGCTATAGATACGGACGAATAGCATAAAGAACAGTACAAGTACAATCTCCCTCATCTAAAGGCTGCAAGTCTCTTAATGTGGGCAACTGTATTATATTTTCTTTTTTCCTTTCCTTTTTTTTTTAAGGAGCTGTGCTTTATATTGGTTGAGGCACTTTTTCCATATAAAACATAATTACAAACCTGACTTCCCACTATGGTGTACTGGTGTAAATGATTTTTTTAAAACACATCAAGTGCCTGGTCAGTGTGGCTCAGTGGTTGAGTGTCAACCCATGTACCAAGAGGTCACCATTTCAATTCCCGGTCAGGGCACATGCCCAGGTTGTGGGCCCATTCCCCAGTGGGGGGCATGCAGGAGGCAGCCAATTGATGTTCTCTCTCATCAATGTTTCTATCTCTCTCTCCCTTTCCCTTCCTTTTTCTCTAAAAAAAAATCAAAACACTTAAAAAAAAATAAAAAAACATCAAGCAGGTTTTACCTATAGCTCTAGAATGTTTTGTTTCCTATGTTTATGAATCCTGATTTCATCACATATTAGCTATCCTTCCACTTGAGAATATTAAAAAAAAAAATGGTATTGGAGTCATTTTAAAAATTCTGAACGGGCTAGTCAACATTTACTAAGTCATGTTACTAAAAATCTTCTCCTTTAGACTGATACATTTATCAACATATATTTCAATTTACTATAGATGAAGATGTTAAATATTAATAGTTATAATGATTAAAAATAATTAATAGACATTGCATGTTAAAATACATACATCTTAGTTCTAAAGCTATTATCTTAACAGGGAAACACCAGAGACATTTTCATTAAGATCAGGAACAAGGCAAAAACATTTTTATCTCTGTTACTATTCACACTATATTAGATTACTAGCCAATACAATTAGAAAAGAAAAACCAATTAGAAGCATAAAAATGTGTGGAAAAACTGGCAGATGTTGAATAAGGTCTACTGATTAATAGTTTTGTACTGATGTTAATTTCCTGATTTTAATCACTGTACTATGATGGTGTAAGATATTAACATTAGGGGATCTGGGTGACGAGTATACGGCAGGATTTCTCTATTGAGGCACTCCTGACATTTGGGGTCGGATAACCTGTTCCATGGGAGACTTTCTTGTGCACTCCAGGTTCAGTAGCAGCATCCTTGGCCTCTCCCAATAAGATGCCAGCAGCAACTCCCTCAACCTCCCTGCCACCAACCCAAGTTGTGACAACCAAAAATGCCCCCAGACATTGCCAAGGGATTCACAGAGGGAGCAAAATCACCTCCAGTTGAGAATCATGGGTACAGAGGAATTCTACTGTTTTTGCAACTTTCAGAAAACTAAATTTATTTCAAAACATAAAGTTTTTTAAAAAAATCAATGTTCCGGTTTAAGTGAAAACTACAGGCTTTGTATTATCATACTCTAAGATATGATTCCATTTTTAATTCTCAAGAAAATAAAGTTAAGGCAAAGCATCACATTAGATGTTTTAACAAAATGTGTTGAAGAAGATATTTAAAGGTTCTAAAAATGTAGCCCTTTCAATCATAGGAAGCTTTCTCTATGTTTTAATGACAAATCAAAATAAATGTCCATGCTGATCTACCTCTTTGTGTTCATTGATGCCTTCATTATCCATTTATTAGTGAGAGGGTCAAACATCTCCATGCTACCTAAATGTTCATTTCCATCATGTCCACCCACAGCATACACTTTACCTGTCAAATAGAGAAGTATTTTCATTTTATTTCAAATAAACTGAGTTATTTACATATATAATCAACATATGATTAGAACAGCATAATAATTTACAAGTATTCTTCTGTCCAACATTATGATAATGTCATTTGCGTAGTCAAATGGAAATAAATGGCAGCTTCTACTTAATAAGATGCCTGGAAGTTGCTGTTCTACATGAAATTATTTATTTATTTATTTATTTATTTATTTATTTATTTATTTATTTATGTTAAGCCTCACTGGAGAATGTTTTTCCATTGATTTTTAGAGAATGTGTAAGGGAGGGAGGGTGAAGACTGAGGGGGGAGAGAGAGAGAGAGAGACAGAGACAGAGAGAGAGAGAAACATCGATGGGAGAGAGACACATCGATTGTTTGCCTCCCGCACTGCCCAGACAAGGGCTGGGGATCAAACCTGCAATCCAGGTACATGCCCTTAATCAGAATCAAACCCTTGACCATACAGGGCCTATGGTCAAGGGCCAACACTCTAACTGTTCATCCAAACTGTCCAGGGCTACATGAAATTATCTAAATGCTCAAACACTATCCCTCCCTTGGGTTTCCTAACTTTTTATTACTTAGTAGATGAAATCAGTGATTATGCTTTAAAATAAGTTTAGTAAAATGAAAAAAATGCTCTTATGTTACATAAAGAAAATATAAAATAACAATATAATCAAACTTTTTCTAAATGAAGTAAATACAAAAAAATTGGAAAGCTTTCCATATCAAAAATGCTAACTGTGGCAATCTGAGTGTTTGAGTTACAGATAATTTTATATTTATATATATATGTGTGTATATATACACACACACTCATATACATATATATATACACACATATATATATACACACACACACACACATTTTTTATCTTCACTCGAGGACATTTTTGCATTTATCTTCAGATAGAGCAGGAGGGAGAGAGGAAGAGAGAGAGAAACATCAATGCAAGAGAGACACATCAAGTGGCTGCCACCCACACAACCCCAACAGGGACCGGGAATGAACTGCAACTGAGGTATGTGCCCTTAGTGGGAACCGAACCCAGGACTCTCCACTCCGCAGGCCGATGCTTTAACCACTGAGCCAAACCGGCCAGGGCAGATAATTTTATATTTTTATTAAAATGTTTCAATATTTTCTCAAAAAAGCATTTATACATTTATAATCAGAATAAAGTGAGTTTTTAATCTTTGTTGTTGAAAGTATTACAGGTGTCCCCCTTTTTCCCCCATTGACCCCCCTCCTCCCCACTCCTACCCTCTTCCTGATTTCCTCAAACTATTATCTGTGTCCACTGGCTGTGCATATATGGATGTATGTTCTTTGGTTCATCTCCTCCCAACCCCCCATCTCCCTTTCCTCTGAAGTTTGTCAGTCCATTCCCTACTTCCATGTCTCTGCATCTATTTTGATCGTCAGTTTTGTTCATGATATTCCATAAATATGTGAGATCATGTGGCACTTGTCTTTCTCTGACTGCTTATTTCACCCAGCATAATGCTCCCCCAAGTTCCTCCATGTTGTCTCAAAGGGTAAGATATTTTTCTTTCTTATCGCTGTATAGTATTCCACTGTGTATATGTGGCACAGCTTTTTTATCCACTCATCTACTGATGGGCACTTGGGTTGTTTCCAGATCTTAGCTATTGTAAATAGCACTGCTATGAACATAGAGGTGCATATATTCTGACTGGTGTGTCAGGCTTCTTAGGATATATTTAAAGAAGTGGGATCACTGGGTCACATGGCAGTTCCATTTCTGATTTTTTGAGGAAACACCATATTATTTTCCACAGTGGCTGCACCAGTCTGCATTCCCACCAGCAGTGCACTAGAGTCCCCTGTTCTCCACAGCTTCACCAGCACTTGTTTGATGATTTGTTGATGGCTGCCAATCTGGCCGGTGTGAGGTGATCTCATTGTCATTTTAATTTGCACCTCTCTTGATGATTAATGATGTTGAGCATTTTTTTTCATATACGTATGTCTTTGCCATTTGTATGTCCTGTTTGGAGAAGTGTTTATTCAGGTCCTCTGCCCATTTTCAACTGAATTATTTGTCTTCCTTTTGTTGAGTTGTATGAGTACTCTATATATTTTGGATACTAACCCCTTATCTGATGTATCATTGGCAAATATGTTCTCCCATACAGTGGGTTCCTTTTCCATTTTGATGCTGGTTTCTTTTGCCATGCAGAAGCTTTTTATTTTGATGTAGTCCCATTTATTAATTTTTTCTTCTGTTTCTCTTGCCCTTGGCAATGTATCAGTGAAAATTCTGCTATGTGTGATGTCTGAGATTTTTCTTTGCAATTTTTACTATTTTTTTACAGATGTTTCTTTTTCCCCCCTAGACACCTGAGATTTTTCTACCTACATTTTCTTCTAGTGTTTTTATGCATTCACGAGTTATATTTAAGTATTGTATCTATTTTGAGTTTATTCTTATGTATGGTGTAAGCTGGTGGTCTAAAAGTAATTTTTAGAAAGTCTCCTAATAATTTATCCATGGTTCATTGCAATTAATCATTTTCAGTGACCAATAAAAAAAAAATCTCATTTCAATAATAATTACACCTGGCCAGTGTGGCTCAGTGGATTTAGAGGTCCTGGTTCGATTCCTGGTCAGGGCACATGCCCTGGTTGCAGGATCAATCCCCAGTAGGGGGCATGCAGGAGGCAGCTGATCAATGTATGTCTCTCACATTGATGTTACTCTCTCTCTCTCCCTTCCTTTCTCTAAATAATCAATAAAAATATTTAAGTAATAATAATTAGATGAGTAGCCCTGACCAGTGTGGCTCAATGAATAGAGCTTTGGCCTGTACACCAAGGGTCTCAGGTTCAATTCCTGGTCAAGGGTGCATACCTGGGTTGCAGGTTCGATCCCTGGCCCCAGTTGGGGTCGTGCAGGAGGCAAAAAAATCAATGTTTCTCTCTCTCTCTTTCTTAATCTCTTCCCCCCACAACTCCTTCCCTTACACTCGTTCTAAAAATCAATGGAAAAAATATCCTCAGGTGAAGATTAACAAAAATAATAATAAATAATAATAATAATAATAATTAGATGGGTATAGAAAAAGCTGGTATATATTTATTATTTGGGTTCAATGAACATTTTTATTCAGTTTGATTCTTTTGCAAATATAATTCACAATAGTTTATTCTGACTCCCTTTCCCCTGACACTCATCTCCTATTAAGCAATTATATGCAAGAGATTATACACTGAGCGTCAACGGGGACGTAAAGCAAGTAAATAATCATCATCCAACTATTTTATTGATATATTGAAACATACTTATCATTTATCAATTTTTTTATACAAAGAAAGGATTTTCAAAGTTCAAATATTTTAAAAGAGCATTATGATCCTGCGATGTGACTTTAAGACAACAGTGAACCCACCTTCCACAGAGATTACACCCACGTGTCGCCTGCGACTATTCATTTCTGGTCCAAAGAACCAACTGTTTTTGTTGACAGAATAGCATTCAATACTGCGAAAAGGGTCACCGGATCCACCTCGACCACCTACACAAAACAGCACACCTAAAGGTAAAGCCACAAAATAGAGGTCAAAATCATAGTTCCCTAATTTCAAAATATCGATGCTTCTCTCACTCTCCTTTCCTCTCTCTCTAAAATCAACAAAGCCCAGCTGATGCGGCTCAGTGGTTGAGCATCGACCCATGCACCAAGAGGTCACTGGTTCGATTCCCAGTCAAGACACGTGCCCAGGTTGTGGGCCCGATCCCCAGTGGGGGGCATGCAGGAGGTAGCCAATCGATATTTTCTCTCATTGATGTTTCTCTCTCTCCCTCTCCCTTCTCCTCTCTCTAAAAATCAATATAGAAAAAAAATTTTTTTTAAATCAACAAAAATATTAAAGATAATAAAATAAAATAAAAATGGCAATTTTATTGTTATACAGGCATACTTCAGAGATACTGCAATCTGGTTCCAGACCACTGTAACAAAGCCAATATCACAATTACGCCAGTCACACAAATTTCTTGGTTTCCCAAGGCATATAAAAGTTATGTTCAGCCCTGGCTGGTTTGGCTCAGTGGTTAGAGTGTCGGCCCTCGGACCAAAGAGTCTCGGATTCAATTTCTGATTAAGGGCACATGCCTGGGTTGCAGGTTCGATCCCTGGCCTCAAGGGGTCATGTGGGAGGCAATCAGTTGATGTGTCTCTCTCATTGATGTTTCTCTCTCTCTCTCTCTCTTTCTCTCTCTCTCTCTCTCTCTCCCCTCTCCCTCTCCCTCTCTCTCTCCATCCCTCCCTCCCTCCTTCCCTTCCACTCTATCTAACAATGGAAAGGTATCCTTGGGTGAGAATTAACAACAAAAAAAGTTAATGTTTATACTATACTGTAGTGCATTCAGTGTGCAATAGGATTATGTCTAAAAAAATGTACACACCTTGCCCAGTGGCTGGTTTCTCAGTGGTTAGAGCATTGGCCCACAGACAAAGGATCCCAGGTTCGATTCCCAGTCAAGGGAACGTACCTGGGTTATAGGTTTGATCCCCGGCCCCAGTGGGGGTCATGCAGGAGGCAACCAATTGATGTGTCTCTCACACTGATGTTTCTCTCTCTCCCCCTTCTACTCTATCTAAAAAGCAATGGAAAAATATCCTCAGGTAAGGATTAAAAAAAATGTACATACTTTAATTTAAAAATACTTGACTTCTGAAAAATGCTAACCATTATCTGAGCCTTCAGCAAGCTTTTTTTCCGGTGGAGGTTCTTGTCATTATTTTGCAAAACATCTGCAATATCGGCGAAGTGCAATAAAATGGGTATGCCTATATATATTTCACTACAATTATCAAGAAACCAAAATTTTCTGTGTGGTCCAGAATCAATCCAAAGGCATAAAACACAGGTTGTAGAGTCGGCTTGCAGAGTTTCAGACTCAGCAGATTTGTGGTAAGTTCAAGACTGTATCTCTAACAAGTTCCCAAGTGGATTTTGATGCTACTGGTCCAGGGGCCACACTCCCTGCACACTGTGAGAGCCACTGCCCTACAAGATAGAGCCGGAGCACAGCATACAGGCTGCAGTGTCCAACCTGATCTTCTCTCTCTCTCTTAAAACTTCAACCTCCTGCAACACGCGTGTAGTTAGTGCTCCTCCTCAATGTTCTGATAGTAATTCTTTGGTAACTATCATTCACTTAACATACAGTATTGAAATTACCTATTATGCTGACATTTGTCACCAGAAACTAAGCTAGACTGACTGTGTGCTAAGTATTTATGCACTAATAAGGACTAGCACAGTGCCAAGCATGTTCTAGGCATTCGATAAATGTAAAATGAACAGAATACCCCGTTCCCTACCTGGGACCTTTTCTGACCCTTGCAAGGTATAAAGAAACACTATTTTCTTTGTGTTTCCCACTATACCTTATGATTGTATCAAAGCATTTGTAATCCTTTACATTTATTTATTTACATGTCTGTTTCCCTAGATCAGACTGTAACCTAGCACCGGCACGTGCTAGGCACTTAATCAGTGTTTGCTGAATGACTGCATAAATGAATGATCGGAACTGCTTGTGCTATCTGCTCCAACTAATTCAATATTTTAAGTCAGAGAAATTTAAAGTTGGAAGAGACGTTAAAAATCATGCATTCAAAATTGTGTATAAATAAATGGAGGCCTTCAGAGATTAAGAAATCTGCCCAAGCCACAGATGATTAATGGCACTGCTAGAATTATAAACCCCAAATGTAACCACAATCACTGATGAGATGTTCTTTAAATGGACATCGGTATTTCAGCTACACAGGTCACCTGCATGACATGGAAGAAAAGAGAACTAAGCAGCAAAAAAAAAAAATCAGAATACAAATCCTTTCTCTGCTATTTCTATGTGGCCCTGAGCATACTTTTACCCTCTCTGAGTCTCAGTTTTCTTATCCATAAAGTGAAATAACAACAACTATCTCTTAATGAGGATCGGATCCTTCACTAAAACCTACTTCACTACATCTTATATTCATGTGAGGGATCGCATCACGGCTACGAGGGTACGGTGTGTGGCATGTAATCTAGACTGCCAGGATGTTGTTTGAATTCAAATCCAAATCTAAGAATTTCATTAGATACCTTGGCACACTGAAACAGGATTCACAACTAAAAGACATCTACACTTTAATTTAATTATTAAAATCAACCTACAAAAGAAGGAAAATGAATCAGTCCTTTTCCTGTTAAAATTCAGAACCACTTCTTTGTAGGCAGACCTATGATATTTGAACTTCCTTTACACTACCTAGATAAAATCCTACTACACATAACCCAATATTGTCTTCTGTTGTTTTTTGTTTTAGGCTATTCCATGGGTGTCTTTTTGGTCACTATATTAGGCAGCAGCAAATTTAGAGGAAGTCTCTGTTTGTACTAGTATCTGAACTCCTGAACCTCATTTCTTTTCCCTCCTCCCTCATATATACATGATATTTATAAAGAGTAAAAACATACATGAACAGGAACTTGGGAAAAGATAAAGTCTGAAAATTGTGGCAAATAAAGGCAAAACTGTATGCGTTTTCAAAAATAAGAGTTTTAGATTCTAAGAGTTTAATATGGTCTGTTATGCAAATGTTAGATTTAGTACCTTTCCTCTGATTTGATAAAATGCATAAAACAAGTATTTAAGCATGTAATATATGTCAGGCTTAATGCTTGCACTATGGATACAAAACTAAATAAGATATTTACCATCTTAGAAGGGCTCAAAATAACTTTTACTGCAACACAGTAAAATAAAATAAGTGCAAAAGTGTTCTAAAAGCACAAATGACAGGAACTAATTCTGCCCAGAAAAATTGGGAAGACCACAAAATAAGAGATATTTCAGTAGGATCTTCAGAGTTTATAAGAATTGTAATGGCTTTTTTATTTATATTTATTTTTTCATTAACTTTATTGGGGTGACACTGGTTAATAAAATTATATAGGTTTCAGGTGTACAATTCTATAACACATTATCTGTATAGTGTATTGTGTAATGGCTTTTTAAAAAACTGGCATACTGGTAAAACTATCTGAATCATGTACAATAAGAATTCATAAATAACCTTATTTGCCAAGTATTACTCTAAGGCAATCAGATACTAATCATCTTGCAATTAAATATGGGCATACATAACCAGCCTGCAAATACAACAGAGATCCTTCCAGCAGAATTGATAACGAGTAACTTAATTACCAGCAGTATGCTTCCTTGGTGTAGTCCGAACAGAGTATTCAAAGTCAGGTACTGCTCTGCTACTCAAGTGAAGGTGGTAATTTCTTGCTTCATCCAATAAGTCTCTACATTTTAGATTTTGCTTGACAGTCTGTTCTTTCGCCACAACACCCATAAGAAAATCCACTGGCAACAGCGGCAAACGCACCTAAGGTCATGAATAGTTGTGGATATAAAATTTAAGTTGTAGCTCATTCTCTACTTTCACTGCAGTATCCTACCATTTTAAAACTCATTTACTTCATCAAGACTTAAATAAGATTATATAAATAAGTCCTCCCCCTTAAATACAGATTTACGTAGACTAAATAATTCAAATGTCTTCAAGTTTCTTACTTCCACAATGTAATGTCACAATTAGAAGGCTCCTTGCTGCTAAAGAAAAAGCAAAATCAAAACAAAATTGCTAAAGGCTAAAAAAAAAAATTACTGTAAAAAATTACTGTGCTTTGTTATTTTTGCCCCTTAAAGCTAAGACTGAACATATGAAAATGTGATCTATTTCTGAAACACACAAACATTCAGATCTGAAACAAACAGGTGTTGTTTTCTTCAAATCAATGACCTTGGAAGATTCTGTACTAGCTCCAGAATGCATCCCCTTTAAGTAGAGGCACTCACTCACCTTTCCTCTCAAAAGCAGCATTGATTTTCTAGTGGATTAAAGGCATTATCAAACAAGGTAATACAGTGTTAAGAGCATGCACACACACAAAAATAAGATCCAGCTGCAAGATAATGAAACCTTTTGTTTATATTTGTTGAAAACTTATTTTCAAAGTAATTCCTAGTCTTATTTATTATCTTTCTACCGAGTAATGCTTGTTGATAGTAAAGATAAATGATACATTTCTGAGATTTAAAAAGTAAAACTGTGGTGAGGGAAGAAAAGGAGAAGTAATATCTTATAGTTTTCTTCAGAACAAATCTATACGCATTAGGAATAAATGTACTTTCATTAGGAAAGTAATTCAGTAAAATTTAGAAACTTCTTTAAAAACAAGTTATATAAATTAATTTTGAGCTGTTTCCTCAGAATCACTTTCTACTAGCATAAATGAAATATTCATTACTACTATCTCAGAGATACATATATATTTGTTGTTGTTGTCATTAATCCTCACCTACGGATATTTTTCCATTGAGTTTTAGATAGAGTGGAAGAGAGGGGGGCGAGGGAGAGAGGGGGAGAGAGACGGAGAGAGAGAGAAACATCAATGTGAGCGAGATACACCAATTGGCTGCCTTCCGCACAACCCCACTGGGGCCAGAGAACGAACCTGCAACCCAGGTACATGCCCCTGACCATGTTTAACCCAAGACCCTTCAGTCCATGGGCCAACGCTCTAACTGCTGAACCAAATCAGTCAGGGACTCAAAGGGATATTTTAAATATTAGTTGAAAAAGCAGAGAATGACATATCTAATTAAAATGTAACACATTCAGATTAATCCTTATATAGTATAGTAAGTAAATAAGAAATTAAAAGTCAAAGCCATTTTTACATTTAATTAGTCAGTTGATAATTCACCCCTTTCATAACAAATAAAACATGTTGATTTGCTTCCATATTGTCCATTTCTTTTTCTTTTTCTTTTATCCTCACCCAAAGACATTATCCTCAGATAGAGCAGGAGAAAGAGAGAAAGGGAGAGAGAGGAAGAAACATCAATGTGAGAGAGACACATCAAGTGGTTGCCACCCACACGACCCCACCAGGGACAAACTGCAACCGAGGTGTGTGCCCTTAGCGGGAATCAAACCCAGGTCTCTCGTCCACGGGCTGACACTCTAATTACTGAGCCAAACCAGCCAGAGCCATATTGTTCATTTCTATACACAATCTCATCTCAGTCCCTACCTGTGCAAGCGTTTCATCCAACCATTTGGAATGATGCTGAGGATTGGCAAGAAGCCACTTGATGGCTGCATTATACACCTGTTTTTCATTCTCAATATTTAGATCACTGGAGGACAAAAGCTTATGGAGATGCTGGGGTGACACACTTACAAAGTCTTCACACTCCACTACTTCAGTAAAGTGCTCACAGGCATACTGATCTGCCATGTCCATTAAGTCTATTCGATTGTGACTTTCCGCAAAGGCTCTTACTGCCAAGCAATTGGAAGGATGAAAATGTAACTTCATGTATTCACAACAAGCTCTAGCCACCAGTTCAACCTGTAGAATACAGGCTGCGTATAACAGAGGCTGGACATTTTCAACAGTCAGAGTGAGCCGTGAAGAGTAGACAAACTTGACCAGGTCTTCTATTGCATCACCGTCAAAATCTCTGATCTCGATCACTGTCTGCTTGGCCTCAGCCATTTCAGAGAGAAACATGGCTCTGAAGTAGGGAATCACACAAGCCAACACCAGTTTGTGACAAGAGATTAACTTGGAGCCAACCTGTTCACAACAAACAAAAAGGGATGCAGTTTAATCTCATAGTTAGCTTTAGATCAAGCAAGTGCATAGCAGGGACAACAGCCAGACAAAATTAGTGCATTTGTTTTAACAATGTAATCCTTTGGTCACTTACTTCTCATCTAGGACATTTTCTTAAAATCAGGTAATTTTCCTCTTCCAAATTAGCCACTTACATTTTATACATGTATCTAGGTACATATAATGTATATACACTTAACTATGACATATTACACTATATAGGTTTAAAGTATACAATATAATGATGATACATGTAACTATGTGAAATGATTACTATAATAAGTTTAGTAAACATTTATCACTTCATATAAGCACATTTTTTTCCTTTCCTTATGATTTAAGGTCTTCCTTTGAAGACCTTAGCAACTTTCAAATATACGATCCAGTACTGTTAACTAGTCATCGTGTCAGGCTATTTATTTATTTATTTATTTATTTATTTAAGTGCAACAGAGCTGTAGAGACGGACCCCAACACAAAAGGAAAACAACCCGGCTGGACTTCCTCTGCTCCTACTGTGGCACCATCTGTCCCCACATCCCACATCAGCACGAAACAGCAAAGAATGGGGAAGATTCAGGTGCTCCTGAGTTGTACTTTTCCTTTCTCCCTCCCTCCCTCCCTTCCTCCCTTCCTTCCTCCCTCTCTCCCTCCTTCCCTCCCCTTCCTTTCTTTTTATACTCAACCAAAAACATTTTTCCATTTATCTTCAGATACAGCAGGAGGGAGAGAGGGAGGAAGAGAGAGAGAGAAACATCGATGTGAGAGAGAGACATCAACTGGTTGCCACCCACACGACCCCAACCAGGGCTGGGGACAAACTGCAACCGAGGTACATGCCCTTAGCGGGAACTGAACCCAGGTCTCTCTGGTCCGTGGGCAGATGCTCCAACCGCTGAGCCAGACTGGCCAGGGCAAGTTGTACTTTTCATATATTAACTTACTTATGTAGTTGTCCCAGTGCCCTGTGATTATGCACTATTAGTATCCACAACTTATCAGTGAGGAAATTGAAGCACAGAGAAAGTAAATCAATATTTAGTAGTATTTACTATGACTTAACTGAGGTTTATTCATTTCCTACTTAAATTATTTTGAAATTGTTTTATGCAAAAGTAATAACAATACTGAAATCTTACCACCTTAATTATTGAAAGATTAGATTGCTTGCAATAGTTTGCCATTACAAATGACATAGTAATGAACTTTGTGTAACTAAATCTTTGTCCACCTTCCCTATTATTTCCTATAAATTCCTGAAAGCAGAAATGCTGCTTCAAAAAATAGATACAATTTGGCTACATTCTGCTAAATTGTCCATTTTCAATCTACCTACAATGTTTGTGCCATATTCTGAGTGTAAATTTGTTAAGAAATATTTGCCAATTTAATGAAAGAAAACATTATCTCATTGTTTTGATTTATCCTTTTTTTACTTATATGACTGAATCATTCATCCATTTTGAGCTATTTGTATTTTTTTCTACGATGTTTTTCTTACTTATTTGTAAGAACTCATACATTTAGAGTATTAGTCATTTGTCATATATACTTCAAACTTTCGTTTGTAGTATGCTTTTAAATTTTATTCCCCCATATTTTTATATAATTAAATCCATCTTTTCTTTATGACTTCTGCTTTTGGTATTATGCTTAAAATGGGAGTCATTCTGCCTGGCTGGTGTGGCGCAGTGGTTTGAGTGTCATCCCATGGACTGAGAGGTCCCAGTTCAATTCCTGGTTAGGGCACATGCCAGGTTATGGGCTCAATTCCCAGTAGGGGGCGTGCAGGAGGCAGCTGATCAATGTTTTTCTCTCACATTGATGTTTCTATCTCTCTCCCCCTTCCTCTTTCTCTAAAAAATCAATTATAACATACAAAAGTAAAATGGGAATCATTCTAACATTCCATAAACATTTACTTCAAGTCTTCTTTTCTAGTACTTCTTTTGTTTTACGCTACAATTTTTATTTTTATCTGGAAGTTTTGGGTACTGAGTAGACAGACATCTTCTTTTTAACCTAGTAGTTATCCAATTTTCCCAGCACTTTATATTGAATAAACAATAATACAAGTAATAGAGTAATAGTGTTTTAGCAATTTTCCAGTAGCATCTAATTATTTAATACACTCATAGTTGTGTCTCATTATTTGGGAAGAATTTTAAATAAGAACTTCTAAAGAAAAATGTCTGAGGAGTGTTACAGTGTTACTTTTGCTTATAAATGCTCCTCGCCCAACTTTTTTTTGCTAATTTAGAGGAAAAATAAATAGCACATACTTCAACAAACACATGATCATGTCTGTCATATATACTATATTTAATTTTAAAAAAGAATTCATAAGGTAGGATTTAGATCTTATTGAAGCTCAAGTTGAAACCTACACTAAAGCAGAAAGCTTGGCATGTTTTAAAATTCACTTCGGCCTTAAAATGAGATCTAAAATCAGATACCAAACATTTTCAGAATAGCCTTAAAATATCCTTTTTGAATCATCTGTACATGTCACCAGAGAGATTTGGTTTTTTACGCAAATATCTATAAATCTCACATGGCATACACCTGCTCAATTAAACAACTTGCCAACATTCTCTCACATAATTGTACTATAAAACAGAGTTCTATGCTTTCCAGATAAATGCCATTTTGACACTGCCTTCTCATCCAAGCTGTACAATTCAATGGCCCGTAAGTTATTTTCATGTTGTTTATAATGAAGTTCTGTCCCCTCTGCTTTAATTTCTTGATTCAGATAAAAACATGGACATTTAATACACACGCACAACCACACCTCTATGTACCCCTTAGAATAAACACCCATCTTAAGTTTAAAAAGAACTTTAAACAATATGTATGATATAGGAATATCAAAAAATTTTTCTTTTTATTCATTAATCCTCCTTTGACACTATATAGTGTCATATTTTTGAAAGTATATTTCTACATTTTTCTTCTTTGGTACATTAAAAACATTTCATCAGAAGTTTAGAATAAAGAGAAATCAAAGTCTATAAACTAGATTTAAAATTGGGTGAAAAATACACAACCTACAAAATACAGACATTACTATGCAATTTAAAATTATTTAAGTAAATACTACAGTACGTGTTCCTGATGCCAGTGAAATTTCCAATTTATATTTTTTATCAGATCAGTGAACATATGAATAATTCAAGATGCTCAGGGGAAAAACATGTCAAGCTTAAAGTTTAGTGAAATACTGAAAATAGCAACATTAATAAAATGTTCCCTTATTTATTTATTTATTATTATTTTTTTTAATTCTCATCCGAGGATATTTTTCCATTTTTTGTACAGATAGAGTGGGAGGGAGAGAGAGGAAGAGAGAGAGAGGGAAACATCGATGTGAAAGGGACACATCGAGTGGCTGCCACCCGCACGACCAACCAGGGCCGGGGACAAACTGCAACCGAGGTACATGCCCTTAGCGGGAACCGAACCCGGGTCTCCCCGGACCACAGGCGGACGCTCTAACCGCTGAGCCAAACCAGCCAGGGCAAATGTTCCCTTATTTAAAAGAAAAATCTTGAAATGCAAACCACAAATCAAAACCTCAAGTAATTTTCCATAGATTAGCCAATAGGGATCAGAATACAATGAAACAAAGACTTTTAGATTGGTAAAGCACTTTACTTTCAACAAAGAGAGTCAAACATCCTTAATTTTATTTATTTTATTTTTTAAATCCTCACCCAAAGGATGGAGAGAGAGAAACATCGATGTGAGAGGGACACATCGACTGGTTGCCTCCTACACACCCCAAACAGGGCGGGGCTGAACTGCAACTGAGGTATGTGCCCTTGACCGGAATCGAACCCGTGACTTATTGGTCCACAGGCCAACACTCTAACCACTGAACCAAACCGGCCAGGGCCATCCTTAATTTTAATTGCTAATTCAACATTTAAGTCCAACCAGGAAAACTATATGAAAAACTAAGTAGAACTCTGTTTGAAAATATAAATGATCTTTTGATGGAATATGAGGGAAAATGAACTAAAAATTATATAAAAATAACATTAACTAAACAAAGAACATAAAAAATTCCAGTAACTATCACATCTGACTTGCAAAATGAACCTATCTTACATAAAAAGACCATTTACTTTTCAAGTTTTCTTCCCTCCCTCACACCTCTCCCCCTACAACATATTTTGATGTGTAAAATCAAGCACAGAAATATATAAGGAAAAAATTTACTCACAATTCAACAAATACTATCAATCTGCTGGTATATTTCCTCTATTTATCCTCTCTTATGTCCCTTCCGCTTCAATAAAAAGGCTTGAGACTAAAATCATTCTGATTATAACAATAAGTACAGCACCAAAAATTTGCCAATGTGGTTACAGAAACCCTCATTTTCCACAATACCCTGAAGAGACTGATAAAAGAAAAAAATATAGGCTCGCCTTTAGTGTGACATCACAGAGTTCTCCACTTTCATAAAATCGAAGAAGAGACCCATGAAAATCTTTCCAAGCTTCCTGTGCTTCAAAGACAAAGGAGTCTTCTCCATCGCCATCATTGACTAAAGAACTATTCTTTACTTGCTGGTGCTGTTGCCTTTTCCCCTTTGTGAAGTGATTCCTGGTTTGTTTTGCATTCACAGAATCTGAAGCCATTTGCAACACTCTTCTTTTTACAGAACTGTCTTCTCAAACATCCCATTTATTCTTTTGTAAACGGTAGGGGAAAGCAGAAGGTCGATGCAGCCCGCTAAGCTTCAGACATTTTCAAAACGCACTCAACTGCCGTTGTCCAATTTGCTGACACTGAAAAATGAACAACAAAACACACATAGAAACAAACCAAAAGAAATAATCAGTGATAATTCTAGTTTACCAATATTATATGTGTAAAAAGACTATATAAATAAAAAAAGAACAAGAAACTACTTTGGAGATCTTATGCTAAATGTCACATAAATTACCTCAGCAAAATACAGGTGACCCTTGAACAATGCAGAGGGTGAGGGGCACCAACCCCCACGTGCGGCTGAAAATCCACATATAATTCTACAGCTGGCCCTTTGCAATTTTGGATTCATCCCACCACAGATCAAAAGCAGTATTTTCAATTCACAGTTAGAAATGCTCAGTGGGAAATCCATGCTTGAGAATGAGAAAACACTGTTTTTGATCCATGGTTGACTGAATCTGCTGATGTGAGACCCATGGATACAAAGTGGACCAACATAGATCAAACCCACATTTGAAGTGTCAACTTTATTTTACATCAGTGAAGAAACTCCTTTAAAATCTAATTTAAAAATTCTGAGAAGGGGAAATGGACAGCTCCAGTAATTTGTCTTCCCACCTAGACAATGGCAATGCCAGACTCTGTCTGATGTAACTGTTTTGAAACTTGAAGCCTTACAACTTCCAGAAAAAGATATGGATGGTAAACTGTAGTGAATTTTTGTCAATGTCAGCTCTTAGAACAGCAGCAGCTGTCCATTCCACATCCCCCGCCATGTGTCAAGTGGTTGTGCATGTGTGTCCCTGGAGCAGCTTGCACACAATTTGCAGGAGCCACAGTGGGCAAAAGGGACCCTGTCCTCCAAATATCAGAGATCTCTGCTCCATCTGCTGACTGCGTTTCTGATCACAGAGAGGCAGATAGAGTGGGCAGCCATTTTTGTTGCAACTGTTCCCACTACTGCAAGCCTCTCCCCCTCAGCTGAAGTAACTTCCAGGTTCCAGGGGATTTGAAAAACCGGTGTTCTTTACCCCCACATTTTATGCGTTTTGTCCTTTAGGGAGCAAGACATAAAATACTAAGACATTAAAAAATAACTGTCTATATAAGAAATATTAGAAAGTCACAGTGCATGCCCAGGGAAAAGCTCAGAAAAGGCCTGAGTCCTGGTTGGTTTGGCTCAGCGGTTAGAGTGTCGGCCCACGGACCAGAGAGACCTGGGTTTGGTTCCCACTAAGGGCATGTACCTCGGTTGCAGTTTGTCCCTGGCTCCGGTTGGGGTTGTGTGGGTGGCAACCAGTCGATGTGCTCTCTCATGTAGATTTTTCTCTCACTCTCTCCCTCCTGCTCTATCTGAAGATAAATGAAAAAATGTCCTCGGGTGAGGATAAAAAAAAGAAAAGACCTGAGAGCACCTTAAGCTTACACCTCAAGTTGATCTTCAGCAAAGACAGCTTACAATTTAAAAAAAGCAAAAAACAATGACAGCAAACCTTAAGAAAAAAGAAGAATCTGATTTTCAGACTCACCATATTATTAGATTTAAATGTCCAATGTTCAACAACAACAAACACAAGGCATACAGAGAAACAGGAATGTATGGCCCATTCAAGGGAAAATAAATCAAAAGAAACTGTCCCTGAAAAAGAACTAATGACATTTATACTAGATGAAGACTTTAAAACACTATCTTAATGACGTTCAAAGAACCAAAGGAAAAATGTGGTGAAAGTCAACTGTGTGAACAAAATAGAACTATCAATTAAAAATAAAAAAAAATCAGAAAACCTAAAAAGGAACCAAAAACAAAGTCTGGATTTGAAAATTACAATAACTGAAATGAAACATTCACTAGAGGGATTCAAAGGCAGATTTGAGGAGGCAGAAGAAAGAACTGGCAAACTTGAAGATAAGACAATGACAATTACCAAGTGAGGAATAGAAATAAAATACTGAAGAAACACAAACATAGCCTAAGGGATCTGTGGGACACCATCAAACACACCAACATACACATCATGGGTGCCCTAGGAGAATAAGAGAGAAAAGGGAAAGAAATAATATCTAAAGAAATAATGACTGAAAACTTCCCAAATTTGACGAAAGACATGAATTTAAACATCCAAGAAGCTCCAAGAAAGACAAACTCATAGACCCAAAACCTAGATACAGTACAATCAAACTTTCAAAAGCCAATGATAAAGAATCTTGAAATCAAGAAAAGTGAATCATTATATGATATATTAATAACCAATGGACATAGGCAACAATGCTGGGGGTGGATTGGGAGGAGGGTGTCTGGGGGGAGGAAAGGAGAAACATCTGTAACAAAAACAAATAAATATAAAAAGATTTCAAATTCACATCTATTTAGAAAAAAAGAAAAGTAAATCGTCACATAACGAGATTCTCAAAAGATCATCAAATTTCTCATTACAAACTCTGAAGGCCAGAAGACAATGGAAGGTATGTTCAAAGTATTAAAAGACAAAATCTGGCCCTGGCCAGTTTGACTCAGTGGTTAGAGCATCAGCCTGTGGACCAATGACTCGCGGATTCTATTCTGGTCAAGGGCATGTACCTCAATTTCGGTTTGTCCCTGGCCCTGGTTGGGGTTGTGCAGGGAGGCAGTCGATGTGTCCCTCTCATGTCAATGTTTATCTTTCTCTCTCTCCCCCTCTATCTGAAGATAAATAAAAAAATATCCTCGGGAGAGGAGTAAAAAAAAAAAAGACCAAATCTGCCCAGCTGGTGTGGCTCAGTGGACTGAGCGTTGTCCCATGAATTGGGAGGTCCCAATTTGACTCCCAGTCAGGGCACATGCCTGTGTTGTGGGCTCAATCCTCAGTAGGGGGCATGCAGGAGACAGCCAACTGATGCTTCTCGTGCGCATCGATGTTTGTATCTCTCTCCCTCTTCCTCTCTTTCTAAAAAAATCGATAAAAACATATTTATAAAAATAATATAAAAGGTCCGGCCGGTGTGGCTCAGTGGCTGAGCATCGACCCATGCACTAAGAGGCCGCCAGTTCGATTCCCAGCCAGGACACATGCCCAGGTTCTGGGCCCCATCCCCAGTCAGGGACATGCAGGAGGTGGCCATCGATGTTCTCTCTCATCGATGTTTCTATCTCTCCCTCTCACTTCCTCTCTCTAAAATCAATAAAGGAAAAAAAAACATAAAAATAAAATAATAATATAAAAGACAGTATCTGTCAACCAAGAATCCTATACAGTCGGCCCTCGTTTATCGCAGTTAATGGGTTCCAGCCTACCGCGATAAATGAATTTCCCTGAAGTAGGACTCTTTATCTAAGAATGACATAGAACTAGCTCCAGGAAGACTAAACTCCCCCTAAGTCTAACCATACAGTCGTCCCTCGCCACTTCGCGCTTCGACTTTGGCAGCTTCACTCTACTGCGGTTTTTCAAATACTATAACACTATACTACATTTGAAAAAACCGAGATAGAGGAAGCCGCAAAAGTCAAAGTGCGAAGTGGCGAGGGACGACTGTATCCAGCAAAACTATTCTTCAAAAGTGAGAAAGAAATTAAGCCCTGGCAGGTCTGGCTCAGCAGTTAGAGCAGCAGCCCAAGGACTGAAGGGTTGCAGACTCAGTTCCTGGTTGAGGGAATGTACCTGGGTTGTAAATTCAATCTCCAGCCCTGGTTGGGGTTGTGGGGGAGGCAGCCAATTGATGTGTCTCTCTCAGATCAATGTTTTTCTCTTTCTCTCCTTCCCTCCCTCCTTCTCTATCTATCTAAAAATCAGTGGAAAAATATCCTCAGGTGAGGATTAACAAGAACAAAAAAGAAAAGTGAGGAAGAAATTAAGAATTCCCAAATAAACAAAAGCTAAGGGAGTTCATGACCACTAGACCTGGCCTGCAAGAAACACTCAAGGAGTCCTACAAGGTGAAATAAAAGAACACTAGACAGTAACTCAAAGCCATGTGGAGAAATAAATATTCCAATAAAAGTAAATACATAAGTAATTACAAAAACTATTATTGTAAGTTTATAACTGCATTTTTTTCTCTACATGATTTAAGAAACTAGTATATTTAAAGAAAAAAATTATTAATGAAAAGCTACTATTACCTTTAACTGGCTTGTAACACCAAATCTTGTTTCATACATAATTTAAGAGAATAATTTAAAATAAGTAAAAAATAAAATTTAAATTAAAAAATAATTTTAAAATAATCAAAAATTTTTACTTTATGTTTATGCATAAAGATGTAATTTTGGCCCTGGCCAGTTTGGCTCAGCGGTTAGAGCGTCGGCCTGCGGTCCGGAGAGACCCGTGTTCGGTTCCTGCTAAGGGCACGTCCCTTGGTTGCAGTTTGTCCCCAGCCCTGGTTGGGTCGTGTGGGTGGCAACCACTCGATGTGTCGCTTTCATGTCGATGTTTCTCTCTCTCTCTCTCTCTCTCACTCTATCTGAACAAAATATCGAAAAATGTCCTCGGGTGAGGATTAAAAAAAAAAGATGTAATTTTGTCAGTTCAACAACTGAAAGGGATAGACCTATAAAGGAGCAGAGTTTTTGTCTGTAATTGAAGTTACACTGGTATAAATTCAAATTATAGTATTATAACTTCAGGATGTGAAGTGCAATCCTATGTACACCACAAAGAAAATACCTATAGAATATATACAAAAGTAAATAAGAAAGAAATTTAAACATTTCACTACTGAAATATACTAACTAAACACAAAAAAAGACAGTAATGTAGGAAATGAGGGTCAGAAAAGCTTATAAGGCATACAGAAATAGCACAATAACAGAAGTCCTTCCTTATCAGTAATTACTTTAAACATAAGTAGATTAAATTGTCCAATGAAAAGACAGATTGGCAGAACGAATAAAAACACATGATCCACGTGTATGCTATCTACAAGAGACCCACTTGAGATTCAAAGACATAAACAGGTTGAAATGGAAAGGATGAGAAAAATATTCCATACAAATAGTAACCAAAAGAGGGCAGAAAATGCTATACTACTATCAGGCAAAATAAGACTTTAAATTTAAAAATGTCATAAGAGACAAAGGAGGATATTATACATTAATAAAAGATTCAATACGGCAAGAACAAATATAAATAACAAATGTTTACACATATGACAGATCATGAAAATAATATGAAGCAAAAACTAACAGAACTGAAGGGAGAAATTGACTACTGTAACAGTTGGAAATTTTAATCCCCCAGTCACAATAACTGACAGAACAAGAACCACCAGATAAAGATAAATATGGCAACAGAGGACATAACACAATAAATCAACTAGCTCTAACAGGCATATCCGGAACACTCTACCCAACAACAAAATACACATTCTTCTCAAATGCACACAGGACATGTTCCAGTATAAACCCTATGTTAGGCCCCAAACTTAAGTCTCAGTAGATTTAAAAAGATAACATACAAAGTGTCTTCTACCACATTGACACAAAGTTAGATATCAATAACAAGAAAAACAGAAAATGTGCAAAACTGTGGAAATTAACCCAATTTTAAGCAACCAATGGATCAAAAAAGAAATCACACAAAAAAAAATTAGAAAATGCTAAGACAAATGAAAAGTAAAACAAAACATACCAAAACTTATGGGACTCAGTGAAAGCAGTGCTGAGGGGGAAATTTACAGCTAGAAACGTCTTGTTAAAAAATCTCAAATCAGCCCAGCCAGTGTGGCTCAGTGGAATGAGCTTTGTCCCATGAACTGAGAGTTTCCAGTTCTATTCAGTCAGGGCACATGCCGGGACTGTGGGCTCTATCCCCAGTAGGAGTGTGCAGGAGGCAGCTGATAGATTTCCTTCCTCCCTTTCTCTTTCTCTCTCTCTCTCTCAGCTGACAGATGTTTTTCTTTCTTTCTCCCCCCCCCCCCACTCCCTCCCATCCTCCCTCTTCCTTGCTCTCTAAAAAAGTCAATAAAAACTATTTTAAAAAACCTCGCCCTGGCTGGTTTGCTCAGTGGTTAGAGCGTCAGCCCGTGGACCAGAGAGTCCCGGGTTCAGATTCTGCTAAAGGCACATACCTCAGTTGCAGTTTGTACCCGGCTCTGGTTGGAGCTATGTGGGTGGCAGCCAGTCGATGTGTCTCTCTCACATCAATGTTTCTCTCTCTCTCTTCCTCCCTCTCTCCCTCCAGCTCTATCTGAAGATAAATGTAAAAATGCCCTCAGGTAAGGATAAAAAAAAAACACACAAAAACTCAAATCAATAACCAAACTTTACAATTTAAGGAACTAGAAAAAGTACAATCTAAACCCAAAGCAGAAGGAAGAAAATAATGAAGATTAGAACACAGATAAACATAAAATGTACCATATTAACTATTTTTAAGTGCATAGTTTAGTGGTATTAAATACAATCACACTGTTGTGCAACCAATCACCACCATCCATCTCATAACTCTTTCCATCTTGTAAAACTGAAACTCTACACCCATTAAAGAAGTCCTCATTCTCTCCTCCTCCCATGAGTGGCAACCATTATTATACTTCCTATCTTTATGAGTTTCACTACTCACACCTCATTTAAGTTGAAACATACAGTATTTATCTTTTTGTGACTGGCATAAAGGTTCATCCATATTGCGGCATACCGCGGAGCTAAATAGTATCCCACAGCGGGATACAGCTAAAGCAGTGTTTAGGGAGAAATTTCAGAGCATTAAATAAATGCTTATGTTTAAAAAAAAGGAAAAAAGGCCCTGGCTGATTTGATTCAGCAGTTAGAGTGTTGGCCCGAGGACTGAAGGGTCTTGGGCTCAATTCCTGATCAAGGGCACATACCTGGATTGCAGGTTCAATCCCTGGTCCCGGTCAGGTCGGGTGAGAGGCAACCAATCAATGTTGCTCCCTCTCTCTATCTCTCTCTCCATGGCCCTCTCTCTCCCTCCCTCCTATTCTCTCTAAAAATAAATGGAAAAATATCCTCGGGTGAGGATTAAAAACAAAACAAAAAAAACCTATTATATACTTTTTTCCCTTATATCAAACCACTCTAGCGTCTAACAAAAGGCCTTATTTATTATTTCTGTCACAAAATTATTTCCTTTGTCAGAGGGCCATTCTATGAAAAGGGCACAAATAAATATTCATTTTTACAAAATTATTTTAAAATTTGGCATCAGATTTGGGCTAGACACAGCAACTTAAACTTTTTCTATAGCAACTGCTCTTCAAATAGTCTATTTAAAGAATGCAAAGTCCTCAATGTAAAAAAAAAAAAAAAATACTATTAGATGTAATAAAACAGAAAGACAGGAGCAGGAAAAGAATCTTTACCCTAAAACATTTCATGCTAAGAAACTTATTAGACTCTGTGACTTGTAAAGACTGTATGTTAATATCAAGTCAAAATGTAACAGCCTAAACTCTAAACCAAAACTTGTTAAAAATGTATCTAAGACTGCCCTGGTCAGATTGGCTCAGTGGTTAAAATGTCACCCTGCAGTCTTGAGAGACCCAGGTTCAGTTCCCGCTAAGGGCATGTGCCTCGGTTGCAGTTTGTCCCCGGCTCTGGTCAGTCGTGCGGATGGCAGCCAAGGGAGAAAAAAAATACAATACTATCAGTTCTCAATTATAGTAAGAGATTAACACCAAAAAAATCATGGTCTGTGGAAGTCTGTTTCTATCACACCCTGGCACAGTATGACACTGAAGCAGGCAGGAAGTTGAGACCTTTTCTTTGCTCCTCTAAGTGTCAATAAAGTCATACCAATCAATAAAACAGAAAGTTTTGAAGGAAAAAATACTTCAAACAGAAGCAGATAGGTGATACTGGTTCACTGCAGATAATATACAACAAAACTAATGTATAGTTACATGTAAATATAACTTATACTTACAGAAGACAGAACTTACATTAAAAGCGTAAAGATACTACTCTGTTAAATCAGTCTACTTTTTTCAAACTTCTTTGCACTAATTATATCACGTTTTAGGATAAACTATCAATATATAACACTCTTATACAAAACTATTAACTCATATTACACTGTATTATTCTCATAACTGAGGTTTTTGAAGACAAAGAGTGACTTTTATACCACACATTGATCAGAAAGTAGAAAGAGAACTCCAAATGGCACTTTGAATGACTGAAAGCACCTCAAAAAAACACCACTCAGTGCTATGTGGTTACTGCTGCAGTGTATACTACAGGCAGAAATAGTGCTATTAGATTCATTTTTCTATAAAATTTTAGTTTATACTCTTTACAAGTCAGTTAAAGATTTTAGGAAATACAAAATGTTACATTTTATAGCAGTATCTGCTTAACTTTAGCTATATGTGAAAGCTGATGGAGGATGTGTATTTCCTGAAATAAACTCATGTATATTTGTTCAATAATAAGTTGATTAGGCCCTGGCCAGTTTAGCTCAACAGTTAGAGCACTGTCCTGAGGATCGAAGGGTCATAGGTTCCATTCCCAGGCAAAGGCACATACCTGGGTTGCAGGTTCGATCCCCAGGCCCAATTCGGGTCCTGCAGGAGGCAACAAATCGATGTGTCTCTCTTACACAGGTTTCTTTCTTTCTCTCTCTCTCTCTCCCTTCCTCCTTCCACTCTCTCTAAAAAAAAAAAAATCACGGCTGGGGTGGTTCAGTGGTTGAGCATCAGCCCACGCACCAAGGGGTCACCAGTTCGATTCCCAGTCAGGTCACATGCACAGGTTGTGGGCCTGATCCCCAGTGGGGGGCATGCAGGAGGCAGCCAATCGATGTTCTCTCTCACTGATGTTTCTCTCTCTCCCTCTCCCTTGCTCTCTCTCTAAAATCAATAAAGAAAAAAAATTTTAATCAATGGAAAAATATCCTCAGGCAAGGATTAACAACAAAAATTCTAAGGAAGTGTCATTTATTAAGCAGGTTTAATACTGGTTCTGATGACTAATTGTTACCAAGGCTATATAAGGACTGGACTTCTAGGAGTTTGAGAACTTGCTTTTATTTTTACAAGGTAAGCAAAAGAAACCAACACACACATATGTACATATATTCCAAAGACACATACTAGTCATGGTTTTATAACCACATTTCAAGAAATTTCAATAAAAAATAGAAATACTATTAGTGTTAAAGGGAAACACCATTTGTTTTATATTAATTTAATCAGTCAGTCATCACATGGTATATTGCAGGTTGTAGACCTTCAAAGATGATACGAAAAGCACCTACCAAGTGCTTTGAAGCAGTGCTATTCAAAGTGAGTCTGAGCCACATTTTTTTACAGGTCTGCAACAAAGCAAGCACAAAAATGGATTATTTAAAAAGTCTTAGAGCAAAGTTATATTTGACAGAGTAATTTTTTATCTGCTGACTCTCATAAAAAATTGATGTTTGTATTTTGTGTGTCCTTTTTTTTTTCCATTTCATTTTTCTAGTAATTCATTTTGTTGTCCTTTACCAAAGTATCAGTTCACAAACTAGGCTTTCACCACAGTTTAAGAAGCACTAGTTTTGGGGGTTCAAGAAAGGCAAGTATCCACAGTAGATGAGCCAGTGTTATGCTTTGCTACTAATGTACATGCAAAAGGAATGAGTATCACACACCAAGCAAGTAAACAGATGTGTCGAAATCTGAAGAATGGTACTGGCGGCTTACACAACATGCCTCAGAAAATGGTACAGCACACTTAAGAAAGGCTGCATCATCCATCCTCTCCAGATGGACCAGCACACTAGACTACATGGAAAAACAAATGATCTGAGATTAAACACTGCTTCAAAAGTGCCAGCCATTTTAAATGTGAAGAAATTTAGGAATACCTTAAATAATCTATCTCTTGTGTTTTCCTTTGTTTAAAAAAATGTATGCACAGATGTAATCTATTTTTTTTAAGTTATGGAAAATAATTTCCCTCCAAAAGAGGAAAAAGACATGACATAATCCCTACTGTTAAGGAGCTTGAATCATCTAGGTGGGACAAAAACAGATGATAATAATAATGTGATAAAGGCACTAGCAGAGAGAGATACTGGATATTATGGGACAAACTAAACTAACCTGGGTGATCAAGGTAGCCCATGAATATGATAGTTGTATGTACTCAAAATTATCATTCCACTCTATCTAACTACTACAACCAAGTTTCATACATTCTACTTCCTAAATTTCCCTCATATTGTTGACCTTGCTCCTCCAGCCTCTGCACTGCAGTCAAAGACCCATCATCCCACAGCCGTTATTACAGCCTCTCTCACCAATACCTCCTTCTTACTGCTGCCAGTTATTCCCAAATTCAAATCTGACCACATTATCTCCATGCTTAAAATCTTCCATGGAGCCCAGCTGGGTGGCTCAGTTGGTTGGAGTGTCTCCCTGTACACCAAAAAGGTTGCAGGTTCGATTCCCGGTCAGGGTGTATACCAGTGGCAACTGATCAATGGTTCTCTCGAACATCAGTGTTTCTTTCTCTCTCCCCTTTCCTCTCTATCTAAAATCAATTTAAAAATATCCTCAGCCCTGGCCAGTTTGGTTCAGCGGTTAGAGCAGCGGCCTGCAGTCTGGAGAGGCCTGGGTTTGGTTCCCGCTAAGGGCACTTACCTCAGATGCAGTTTGTCCCCGGCCCTGTTGGGTCGTGTGGGTGGCAACCACTTGATGTGTCCCTTTCACATCGCTCTTTCTCTCTCTCTCTCTCTCTCCCCCTCCCACTCTATCTGAACAAAATATTGAAAAATGTCCTCGGGTGAGGATAAAATATATATATATATATATATATATACATCCATCCTCGGGTGAGGATCAAAAAAACAAAACTTCCATGGATAATGTAAGTGGGAAAAAATGGATACGAACTGTAAGATCTCTATTTTGTAAATATGTATATGTGACAGGTTTCCAACTGCGAATGCTGTTTTGTAATCAATTAATGAAATGATTCCAGAAGGCTTTTTATTACAGAGAAATTTGTGAAGGAAAATAAGGAAACATAAGTTTAAAGTGGGCCACAGAACTTTAAGGCATGGGCCATATAAAATATATTCCCAAACCCTTCAAATTGTAAGGAAAGAGAAATGACTAAACATTTACTGCTATAATTAGCATGTCTATTTTAACTAGGTTATATATTCTTATACAGTCATGTGCTATGTAACATTTCAGTCAATGGCAAACTGCACATAGGATAATGGTATACCACACAGCCTATATGTGTAGTTGGCTTCACCACCTAGAGTTATGTAAGTCAGTCTATGATGTTCACACCAGGACGAAGCTGCCTAAGTATGAATTTTTCAGAACATATCAAGGACATTAAATGGCACATGACTGTACATCATAAACATTTTATGATATTTTAAGGTCTCATATAATGATCATATGGTACACTTTTTTATAGAATGTGCAAGTTAGCATGGAATAGCAGAAACAAGTGTTCAGTTAGGTAACAGGAAAACTGGATTTTAACTAATTATATAATTAGGAAATTAATCTCTCCAAGTCTCAGTTTCTTCACTTATAAAAGAACCGAGGTGGTCCAGCCAGTGTGGCTCAGTGGTTGAGCGTCCCATGCACCGAGAGGTCTCAAGTTCGATTCCCGGCCAGGACACGTGCCCAGCTTGTGGGCCCGATCTCCAGTGGGGGGGCATGCGGGAGGCAGACAATCGATGTTCTCTCTCATCAATGTTTCTATCTCTCTCCCTTCCTCTCTCTCTAAAATCAATAGAGGAACAAAAAATTTTTTTAATAAATAAATAAAAGAACAGAGGTGGTCCAGGTCAGGGGTCAGCAATCTTTTTCTGTAAAGGGCCAGCCAGACAGTAAATACTTTAGGCTTTGTGGACCATCTAAACTCTGACACCTGGAACAACGTAGGTTTTGAACTACTCCACTTAAGGGAGGATTTTTTTTTCCAACTGACCTGGATCAAAGTCACAATTCAAAGGCCAACTCCATAACTCCACAGTTGGGAATCTGCACATGCATCCACACAGTAGTTAAATGCAGATTTTTGACATCAGGAAGGTCTGTGCCTCTACCCATCACCCCTGTCAACTGGATTCGACTATGACACTGTAGTAGGAAAACAGCCATAGACATATGGAAAGCAATGTGTGTGGTTGTGTCCCAACAAAACTGTATTTTACAAAACCAGCAGCAGACTGGGTTTCACCTATGAGACCTTAGTTTTAGGTACTCACTGTTTACTTTCCCATCTAAACTAGTAATACAGTTTTTTTTTATTTAAAATTACTTAAGCTGTTGCCTTGTTCTTTGGAGACATCTGTTAACTATATCTAACACAAGGCTCCTAACCTAGAGGTTGCCAGCAGACTTGAGAGCCAGATAGTTTGGGGATCCCCTATTAGCTAAGTACCCTTGGGCAAGTCACTTAAAAAAAAAAAGCAGAGCCCTGGCCGGTTTTTCTCAGTGGTTAGAGCATCGGCTTGCGGTCCAGAGAGTCCAGGGTTCAGTTCCCACTAAGGGCACGTACCTCAGTTGCAGTTTGTCCCTGGCCCCAGTTGGGTCCTACAGGAGGCAGCCACCAGAAGGGTCCCTTTCACATCGATGTTTCTCTCTCTCTCTTTCTCTCTCTCCCTACTACTCTATCTGAACAAAAAATGGAAAACTGTTCTCGGGTGAGGATTAAAACAAACAAACAAAAAAACCCAGACTCAGCTTTTTTATAAGGTTGCTGTGAAGGTTAAATGAGGTTATATATGTATGTGTATATATATATATATATATATATATATACACACACACACACACACACACACACACACATACACATATATATACTTAGCCCTATAACTAGTAAATGGCAAGCATTCAATAAATGGACATTAATACTTTTATAAATTATGAAATCCTGAATCATTGATCAGAAACACAATCCTCCAATCAACATTTTTTTCCAGCAAGGAAATAAAATATACCTTATAATGATCTACATTCTGATTTCTTTTTTCACTACAGCAGAAGATGAGGACTTCTATATAACTCTAAGTCTTTCTATTCTTTTTTTTTAATGAAACCAGTTAGTATTAGTTCAATGCTTATGATAAACTTACTACCTGTATGACCTTGGTTAAGTTACATAACCTTTCATTAACCTCAGTTTCTTCATCTATGAAAATGAAAAAAGAACAGTTACCAACTTCATAGGATTGTTATAAGGGTTAAATGAGTTAATAAACTGTGGAACATAAACTATATAAGTAATTGCTATTATTTCAATTAGATACTTCACATTTATTCATTTCAATTCTCAGGACAACCCAAAGAGGTATCATTACTATATTTACATAAAGGAATATGGATAATAAGGCTCAGAGAAGTTAACAAACCAACCCAAGGTCACACAGCTATTAAGTGGCAAAGCCCAGGACTCAACATAGGCTTGCATGACTACAAAGCCAAAGTTCTTACCTCAAAGATGATATTAACTATATCTTTGCATGGAAAACATAACTATCTTTGTATGATATGTACACATTACTTTATGAGAACTAAAATACAGGTATAAATAATATTCTGCCCATGAAAAAAATGTCTTTGAATTTTTAAAAGCTCAAGAGTAAAAGAATACACACAAAATCACTGATCTTAAAATAACAGTAATCTCATAGGCAAACTTTTTGCTAAAGTTACTCCTCTTTGTTTTCCATATCTAATTATTTTAACTCAAACTTTCTTTATTAATGAAATAAGCAATACTATGCATTAAAATACTAAAAATGCAGTACATGACTATCCTTCATACACAAAGTACTGCGCAAATGCTGGCATTCCTCTCCAATTCATCTTAGGGATCTATACAGACCTCTCAAACTATTTTTATAAAGAACAAATCCAGAGAGGCAAAAACAATTGTTACTTTATTTTATAAATTCCCAGCTACTGATTTAGAACCTTGAACTCTGAAAAGCATTTAGATTTCACGTGAAAAAATGGCCAATTATCAAAGGGAAAAAGAACAAAAAGATTCGAGGAAAAAGACAAAAGGACATTATCCTGGCAGTCAGATTCATTCATAAGCTTGTATAACATCACTTGATTAACCTCATACTCTTCAGACCTTGTGACTGCTACTGGTGACTGACCCAGAAACAGAAGTTGGCGTCACATTATATAAAGCCTTATAGCCCAGCAACCTATCACTTACAAGGAAAACAGGGCAGTTTGATACAGCTTACTTCAAACTTATATTACAAGAACTCAAACTTAGAACTCTAACCTAATTCTGAAATTCTCCAAATACAATTAAGATTAATTTCAAATGCTATAAATTCA